TGGTTCACTCCCCAAATGACTGCAACAGCCAAAACTGAGCTGATCTGAAGCCAGAAGCCAGGAGCTTCTTCCAGGTCTCCCATGTGAGTTCAGGTACTCAAGGACCTGAGCCATTCTCCTCTGCTTTTCGAGGCCATGAGCCAGGAGCTGAATCTGGAAGTGGAACAGCCAGCATTTGAACCCATATGGGATGCCGACACTGCAGGCAGAGGATTAGTTTGCTATACCACTGCGCCAGTCCCGAGGATTTTTTTTAAAAGACTAAGTAGTGAACTAACTTCACTAATTTTCTAGAGTTGCCTTTATTGTAAGCACATGATGTTTCCGTTCCTGGATAACCTTGCAATCTTGTGTCGCCCAGTGGGGTGCTGGACAGTTTCAAATAAAGATGTAAGTTGAGATTACCAGAACCTCATTCATTGGAAAAATGTACCTGTATGAATTTACACACGATATGTCTTCAAGACAAATAGGAAAGGTGTAGAGACAAACTCTGGCATAAGAAGCCACTCACATCTAGACCAATTCTACCCAGTTTGCTGATGGTTCATTTAGGGCACATAGTCTAATTGCCAGTTTGATCCTGTGAAGGAAATAATTAACATTTACAGGGCTGTTTCTGCAAATCCAAACTTTCAAGTGATAGTAAACATCCTACAGACCAAGAAAGAATGTTTCCTAAAGGATCACTTCAAGGGTGGAGGTCGAGGAAGGAGCAGGGTGAGTTAACCTCCTAGACAGTAAGGCTCAGGCCTGCTGGGGGCAGAAAGCAGACTCCTGGGCCCAGCAGAAAGAACCCAGACCAGCTCTCTGCCACTTATGTGAGATTATTTGACAGGGAAGGAGGGAAGGTCCTGAGAGAGTAGCTAGCGCATGAGGAAGGTCAAGAGAGAAATCTGTCAAGATGGCTGGAAGTTGGCTGTCTGGCGGACAGTGCAAAAGAGATCAGAGATGCAAGCTTCATATGGCACTTGCTTCTTCACAGCAAAGGGTGGGGACAAAGTACTCTTGCCTCCTCTCTCCAGAGTGTTTCCTGGAGATATTTCAATGGGAGGCTCTGGAGGGTCCAGAATCCTCCCCTTGCACCTTGCCATGCTTTATAAGATCTAACTCAGTCTCTTCAGACTCACCATCTCACTCCCTAAAGCACTCCCTTCCTACAAGGAAAGTCTGGATGTGGGGGAAAGCAATGTGCATACAATGTTATTGTCACCATTCGAAAGCAGCTTAAATGAAAACAGTCTAGAAATAAGAGAGATGGGATAACTCAAAAGGTTTCCATTGAGAAAGCCTGGAAAGTTAACAGGTTTGGCTTACAACGTTGGATAAATACCCATAGCAAGAGGACTTCTAAGCATCTAAGTCCCTTTATCTCCCAATGGAGATGACTGTTTCCTTGGTTTAAAAAACAATGACAACAACAAAAAAACAACTCTACAAGACCTGGGGCATGGATGCTAAAGGAGGCCTGCCTATGGCACAGTCCTAAATGGTTAAACGCGCTAATATCCCTTGTTAACAAATGTGGCACACATACTCCTCTGTTGTGTTTTTTTTTAACTGTAATTGGTATTTATTTATTACAAAAAGCTTGTGTACAGTATAACAAATACAAGTTTTACAAATCTCTTGAAAGCATGGTGGCTGTTTGGGTTTCATACTCTAAATCCCCTCTTCTGTTTCTTTGTTTTATGTTTTGTGACTGCCTGAGCCAGCTTGGAGTTCAGCTCCAATCAGCCCGCTTCCACCTGGTTTGTGACAACAGAGTTTACTGTCTCCCCCTGTCCATTGCTACTGTTAGGCCCCCTGCTGCCAGATGTGCCTCCTCTGCAGCAGGCTCAACCATAAGTAAAGTGTCATCAAAGACAGCCAAACATGTCACGACTGGGTGAGTTCTGACACTCAAGTAACTCTTTTTTCTTTCAGTGGACTTCTGCTCAAGCAGTTTCTCCATTCACAGTAACTTGAGGCAACCACACAGGTTTTAAAGCCACTCACGCCGTACATGTGGAGGCATCTAAAACATTTCTGTCACAGTCAAGGCCAATGAGATCATAACGCAAGCAAGCTTTCCAGAGCGGATGCAGAAGTTTTCTTTCTGAATTATTTGTAATTTTTAAAAATAACAGTGGCAATCACCTGGCTGACCACTTGCCTTTTCTCCAGCAGGCCATGACTACAACCCTGACTCCGCACTTTATCTCGACCTGGGTTCCAGCAGGCATGGTGAGATGCCCGGTGGGCACACACCTGGAGTCCACCTTGGAATGGCTCAGGTCCATATCCCAGGTCCAGGGGTGCATGTGTGGCAGTCACTCCTGGTAATCACTACAAGACTGTCCCCTTCCAACCCAGTCAGAGAATTCCAAGTTCTTCCCGTCAGCATGGTACTAGAAACTGGAGGGCACATGGCTCTTGGGGTGTGGCATGGCCAGAGGAGGCCAAGTTGGGAACCAGGGTAAGCATCCTGAGTATAAGCGCTAGGTGAGCTGAATACAAGCTCTTTTCCTGTTATTATTATTATTTGTCTAAATCTGTAATTATTTCAAAGGCAGTTATGGGCAGAGAGGGATGGAGACAGACACACACACACACACACACACACACACATCTTTCATCTGTTGGTTCATTCCCCAAATGGCTACAATGTTTAGGCCAGGTTGAAGGCAGGAGTCTGGAACTCCATCTGTATCTCCCATGTGCATGGCAGGGGCCCAAGTACTTGGGCCATCTTTTGCTGCTTTCCTAAGTACATTTGAGCAGGGAGCAGGATCAGAAGTAGAGCAGCTCTGTGGGATGCTGCTGTTGCAAGCAGTTGCTTTACTTACTGTGCCACAATGCCAGCCACCTAGGGTTTTTACTTTTATTACTGGTGTCTTCTGATTTCATTTTCTAGTTTTTAGCAACCTGTCTTCCAAAGATTCTTAGACATGGCTCTCTACAATACTGGCTTGTTTCAGGGGTTCTTTCTGAAAGAGGGGCTGAGGGGCTCTGAAACAGCTGTTTGTGCTGAGCCAATTCCCAGTGTGGCAGCTCCAGTGAGGCCCGAGAGACTCCATTCCAGGGGTGTTCTTGGGTACTACTCAGTTCTTTTTACTGGAAAAGAGAATATCATGGATTATCCAATGCCAAGGCAGAGTACAGTTTTCAAAAGACATTGAAGATGGAAATATGATTTTCTAAAGGTTTCTGAAAATTGACAGTGTAGCACATTATTTAGAGACGATCTAAATCACGTTTGGACTTAAATTTAGTTAAGGTAAAACAGGGAGGGGGTACCTTCCCTCACCTGTGGAAGGCTGGTGCTCAGCACTGTGTTAGAGGAGCTGAACCAGGAGTTGGAGTCTGACTCAAGACCATTATGAAGAGGATGAAATTCAGGGTACCGCCCACCTGGGTGTCACACACCTGGCTCTGCTCTTCACCTGGGTAGCAGATTGGGAAGTCATGGACTGTTCCTGGTGCTCTTTTCTGCTGTGTGTGTTTGGGGGTGGGGGGGAGTTAAAGGTCAACCTAAAGGACTTGGGATTTTTTGGTAGTTTTGAGCATCGGTGAGAAGCAAAGAAGGACCCTTGAAAAATACACTTTTTCCAGGAAGTCCATGAGAGTGAACAGAGATCGGGTGTTCCTGGGAAATTACTCGCATCTCTTTCACTGGAGGCCATGGCCTCCAGGACCCAGCTGACCCCTACGCATCCTCCAGTTATAAGGACATACTGCTCCTGTCCTGATAATCATCACTGGGTCTGGTCCCCAGTCTCAGAAGTCCAGTGGCTGTTACTGATAAGGACGCCAATGTCCCCGCAAAGGAGAGAGCCAGTTCAGGTCGGTTCTGGGTCTCCTAAAAGCTGTTCGTTTCCTTATTCACCAACGTGGAGGCAGCGATGAGGTCATAGGCAGAGGCTTTGTACAGTCTTCCAGGCTTTGGCAAATGCCGAAGACATTATTTACTTAGTACTGACAGGATCTCCCAGATGCTTCTTTGCTCACAGCGGGGGGTGGGGGTGGGAATGAACCTGAGAGGCCAGCACTCGGACTGGTGCTTTCGAAACAGCTGCCGTTTTCTTGAATGTACAGAGCAACAGGTACTGAACCATTGGACTGCTGTGAAGATAAGCGGGTACGCCCCGGGGTCGGGGGCACCGCTAGGACCTACCCCTACCCCAGCGACCCCGCCCGCTCGGAGCCCGAGACAGGGAGCTGAACACGCCTGAGTGGGTCTGACAGGCATAAGAGAGCCTTGCAGTTTACCCAATTAAGGGGTGGCTGGCTGCACGTCTCCTCTTTTGTTGAACCACACTATTCTTCCCGAGCTCCTGCAACCAAGCGCCAGGACCACGACGGTGTTTGCAGGGCGAGAGGTAGACGGAGCAGCGGATCTGAGCAAGAAAAAGGAATCCTCCGAGATCGAGGGCCAACAAAAGGGCGACTCCGGCGATCCCCCAAACAAAGCCGCCCCGCAGCCCCCAGGCCACCTCGGAGGACAGCCCCGGGGGCGCCTCCCCGGCCACCGCGTCCCCCCAGCCTCTGGCCCGCACCCGTCGCTCGTCCGCGGCCCCCCGCCCCCGGGGCGGTGCCGGGAACACGCGGCGCCTCCGCCGGTCACGTGCTGGGGTGGTGGGGGGAGTCCCCGTTCCGCCGGGCGGCGCTGCCGCTTCCCGATCGCGCCCTCCCAGCGCCGGGGACGCGGCGCTCGCGCTCCCGCCCGAGCCCAGGGAAGCGGAGACAAGGAGGCGCCGCCGCCCTCCCCTGCTCGCCGCGGCGCCCCGGCCCGAAGCCCGCACCATGCCGGCCGCCGAGCCGAGCGCCGCCCTCCTCCCGGAGCTCGCGGAGGCGACGACGCTGCCGGCCCCGGACCCGCGGCTGCGAGAGTAGCGGGGCCGGAGTGCGGCACCCGGGCGCCGCGGGGCGGGCGGAGCCCGGAGGAGGAGCAGCCAGGCATCCTCCGCGGCGGGCGGCGGCCCTGCTGCCCTGCGCGCCCATGGCCCGCGAGGAAGGAGAATGCGATCTGCGCTCTCCTCCGGTCGCCGCTGCCGCCCCGGAGCTGCGGGCACCTGGCCGCTGGCTGCGCTAGGACCCACGGCCGCCGGCTGCCGAGGGGCGCTGGGAAGGAAGCAGCGGGAGCCAGAAAGCCCGGGAGACGGGCGCTGGCCGGAGCGCAGCACGGCATGCAGCGGCGGGCTCCCGCGCCCGCGTGAGGCTGTCGGCCCCGGGGCCCGCCATGGCTGGGAAGGACTGTGGCAACCTGAAGACGGTGAGGTTGTGGCGGGACGCCGCCCTGCGCGCCAGGAAGCTGCGGAGCAACCTGCGCCAGCTCACGCTCAGCGCGGCCGGAGGCTGCCCAGCTGCTGAATCTGACCCGCTCGAGTCCCCCGACGCTCCCCAGCTTGTACTGCCGGCCAACATCGGAGACATTGAGGTGCTGAACCTGGGGAACAACGGCCTGGAAGAGGTGCCTGAAGGGCTGGGGTCGGCGCTGGGCAGCTTGCGCGTCCTGGTCCTGCGCAGAAACCGCTTTGCCCGGCTGCCCCCGGCCGTGGCAGAGCTCGGCCACCACCTCACCGAGCTGGACGTGAGCCACAACCGGCTGACGACCCTGGGAGCGGAGGTGGTGAGCGCCCTGCGGGAGCTGCGCAAGCTCAACCTCAGCCACAACCAACTGCCTGCGCTGCCCACCCAGCTGGGTTCCCTCGCCCACCTGGAGGAGCTGGATGTCAGCTTCAACCGACTGGCACATCTGCCTGACTCCTTCTCGTGCCTCCACCGCCTGCGCACCCTCGACGTGGACCACAACCAGCTCAGCGCCTTCCCCCGGCAGCTGCTGCAGCTGGCCGCCCTAGAGGAGCTGGACGTGTCCAGCAACCGGCTGCGGGGCCTACCTGAGGATATCAGTGCCCTGAGTGCCCTCAAGATCCTGTGGCTGAGCGGGGCTGAACTGGGCACGTTGCCCAGCGGTTTCTGTGAACTGGCCAGTTTGGAGAGCCTCATGCTGGACAGCAACGGACTGCAGGCTCTGCCTGCCCAGTTCAGCCGGCTGCAAAGGCTCAAAATGCTCAACCTCTCTTCCAACCTCTTCGAGGAATTCCCGGCCGCTCTGTTGCCCCTGGCCAGCCTGGAGGAGCTCTACCTGAGTCGTAACCAGCTCACGTCGGTGCCGTCCCTCATCTCGGGCCTGAGCCGGCTTCTCACTCTCTGGCTGGACAATAACCGCATCCGCTACCTGCCTGACTCCATCGTGGAGCTAACCGGCCTAGAGGAGCTGGTGCTGCAGGGCAACCAGATCGCGGTGCTGCCGGACAACTTCGGCCAGCTGTCCCGGGTGGGTCTTTGGAAGATCAAGGACAACCCACTGATCCAGCCCCCCTACGAGGTCTGCATGAAGGGGATCCCCTACATTGCCGCCTACCAGAAGGAACTGGCTCACTCCCAGCCTGCTGTGCAGCCTAGGCTCAAGCTGCTCCTGCTGGGCCACAAGGCTGCGGGCAAAAGCTTGCTGCGCCATTGCCTCACGGAGGAGAGCATGGAGGAAGTCCAGGGAGCAGGGGACAAGGAGAAGAGCTGCCCACCCTCACCTCCCCCCGGGAGCAAGGGCATCGAAGTGACCAGCTGGACGGCTGATGCGTCCAGGGGCCTGAGGTTTATCGTGTATGACCTGGCTGGGGACGAGAGCTATGAGGTGATCCAACCCTTCTTCCTCTCTCCAGGGGCCCTGTACGTGCTGGTGGTCAACTTGGCCACCTACGAGCCTCGCCGCTTCCCTAGCACCGTGGGCTCCTTCTTGCACCGGGTGGGAGCGCGGGTGCCTCATGCCGTGGTATGCATCGTAGGCACGCACGCAGACTTGTGCGGGGAGCGGGAGCTGGAGGAGAAGTGTCTGGACATCCACCGCCAGATCTCTCTGCAGGAGAAACGTGACGCTGAAGGGCTCAGCCGGCTAGCCCAGGTGGTGGACGAGGCCCTGGCCCGGGACTTCGAACTGCGCTCGGCCAGCCCCCATGCAGCCTACTACGGCGTCTCCGACAAGAACCTCCGGCGGCGCAAGGCCCATTTCCAGTACCTGCTCAACCATCGGCTACAGATCCTCTCTCCCGTGTTGCCGGTGAGCTGCAGGGACCCCCGCCAGCTGCAGCGCCTCCGGGACAAGCTGCTGTCAGTGGCCGAGCACCGAGAAATCTTCCCCAACCTACATCGGGTCCTGCCTCGGTCTTGGCAGGTGCTGGAGGAGCTGCATTTCCAGCCACCTCAGGCCCAGCGACTTTGGCTCAGCTGGTGGGACTCAGCGCGCCTGGGCTTGCAGGCGGGACTGACTGAGGACCGGCTGCAGAGCGCGCTTTCCTACCTGCACGAGAGCGGTAAGCTGCTCTACTTTGAGGACAGCCCGGCCCTCAAGGAACATGTCTTCCACAACCTCACCCGCCTCATCGACATCCTCAATGTCTTTTTCCAGCGGGACGCTTCCTTGCTGCTGCATAAACTGCTGCTTGGCACCAATGGAGAGGGAGAGGCTGAGGCAGACGGCGCCCCCAGCACAGCGCTCCTCTCCCAAAACCAGGACCTGCTGCGGACCACCCAGCTCCATCATTATGTGGAGGGCTTTCTGCTCCACGGGCTCTTGCCAGCCCACGTCATTCGGTTGCTATTGAAGCCTCATGTGCAGGCACAGCAGGATTTGCAGCTGCTGCTGGAGCTGCTGGAAAAGATGGGACTCTGTTACTGCCTCAATAAACCCAAGGGCAAGCCTTTGAATGGATCCACGGCCTGGTACAAGTTTCCAAGCTATGTACAGAATGAGGTGCCCCATGCAGAGGCCTGGATCAATGGGACCAACTTAGCGGGCCAGTCTTTTGTGGCGGAGCAGTTGCAGATCGAGTACAGTTTTCCCTTTACCTTTCCACCTGGCTTGTTTGCACGCTACAGTGTCCAGATCAACAGCCACGTGGTACACAGGTCGGATGGGAAATTTCAGATCTTTGCATACAGGGGCAAAGTTCCCGTGGTGGTGAGTTATAAACCTGCCAAGGGAGTCCTGCAGCCAGATACCCTGTCCATTGCCAGCCATGCCTCATTACCAAATATATGGACCGCGTGGCAGGCCATCACCCCCTTGCTGGAGGAGCTGAATGTTCTGCTTCAGGAGTGGCCTGGTCTGCACTACACCGTGCACATCCTCTGTTCTAAGTGCCTTAAGAGAGGGTCGCCTAATCCACATGCTTTCCCAGGTAAGTGGAGGCAGGCATACTGCCTTCAAGGGGATGTGTGTATGTGCGTGTGTGAGAGAGATCACTTTTTTGCACATGCTCCTTTCTCCTTTGGCTGGGTATTGGCATCACCTCCCTAGGTTCTCCAGAAAAGCTTTTCCCAGGTAGACAGAGGCAGATCTGCAGTCAAATAGAAGGCTCCATGCAATGCAAGTCACAAGCTGTCATCTCCTGAGACCATCTCCTCCCCCCCAAACTGGGAGCCAGCTGGGTTGTTCCCGTGTCGCCGCCCTTCCCAGTTGAGCCCCTGGGTCCACGTGTGGAGGGCAAGGTCAGAAGGTTCCAGAGGAGCCAGGTAGTGCCTTGGCCTTGGCTGAGGCTTGCTGGATGGAGATGCATATTGGATACCTCTCCAAGGAAGGAGGGTTTGGCTTAAAGTATCTATTGTCACATTCTTTTGTTTCAATTTGAAGTGCCATCCTACGCAGGATGAGTTGCTGCCCACTTTTCTCATGGAATCCAAGAGAAGGATGTGTTGTAGCTGGGGTGGACGATAGAAAGGAGAAGGCAGAAATGCATGACTAAATCACCAGATGGCTGTTTCACCCTCACCCTCCAGGCTAGGAGAGAAATCACTGAGCTCTCCAACAAGGCTTTCCTTGGGCATTTCCTGGCAGTTTTGAGCTTCACCAACCTCATCAGGTTTGATTTTTGGTGTCAAGGAGAGGAAGGCTTTACAACAATGTTTTTGTAAGAGATGGAAAGGATGAAAACTATCCAGAGTTCTCTCTTCTGGGCATGCTTTCCAACAGACTCTTTTAAGCTTCTTTTAAAACCATTGTAGATCAATCAGAGGGCCCTGGGACTGATTGTTCAATACTTAGTTTTTTTGGTGTTGTTGTTGCTTGTTTGTTTTTTGAATTTAGAAGGGAACAGAAGGTACCAGGGCTTGCAGTCCCCTGCCCCTCCTACCCATTGTGCCCCGCCCCCCATGCATAGCCTCCTGCTCCATCAACATCCCCCCCAACCAAGCTGTTCATTTGCTAGAACTGATGAAGCTACACTGACATATCATTATCACGCAGAGTTCAGGGATTACATTAGGGTTCAGTGCCCATGTTGTACCTAGTGCTTGTGGGTTTGGACAAATATATATAGTGACCTGAAGCCATGAGCATCATATCCCAGATGGTAGTCTAACTGCCCTTACACGGTCTTCTTCACTCTGCTAGCTCATCCGTCCTCCTCCATCCCAGAGGAGTATCTGTCTTTTTTTTTTTACCTTTTTTTACTGCCTCTGGAGTCCTGCCTTTTTCTTGTTGAAATGTCTTTTCAGCCTGGTTCATTGATACCAAGAGAATCTTTAGTTAGCACTATGGCTATTTCCTCATCCCTTATAGTTTTTCTTTAAATAACTGATTTATGTGTGTGTGTGGAGCAAGCTTGGTTAACATTTCAGGTGTCCTGAGTCCACACCAAACAATAGTATCCCAGCTCAGCTGTCAGCTCAGTCTCCTGGCCAGGACATCATGCGGGCCAGGGAAATGGAAGACTGCATGCCACCCTGGTCTTTGTCCTGGCCTGCATGCCAACATTAAGGCAGCTCGCCCTCGTTTCAGGAAGGAATCAGATGCCCATATTTCCGAAGAGGATGTCTTTCCGTCGCCCCAGATCTAGGCTGAAGTTTAATCCTTCAGCGTGAAGAAAGCCACTCTATTTAGTTACCGTCAGCCGAGCTGGCCGTTCTGCACTGCTGTCGGGGCGGGACTAGGTAGATTCTTCCTATTTGCTATTGTATTTGATTCATGGGCGCCAGACCAAACCAAAAAGGGGGGCAGCATTTTCTTGAATTGCAATGTGGAAGGGGCTGCCCAAGCGAGCGAGCTGACACCCAGCCTATGGGCAACAAAGGGGATGACGTGGAGGAGTGAACAAGTAAGGATCTGCAGGGCGGAACCCCAGGAACTCTGAGGAGTAAGAAGCAGTGAGGCTGGGATGATCCCATTTCCGCTCTTTATTTTTGCATTGTGGCAGTCATAAATTCCAAAGGCAAGCTTGAACTGGGATGTGGATTCAAGCCCATTCTCTGGGCGCCCTGTTGTCTTTCAGATGAAACACACCTGGTTCGCAACCCAGGCTGGCAGGATGCAAAGACTTTATCATTTTTTTTTTCACTGCGGTTGAAAGATGGTGACATATCTTTCAAATTGAAAGGAGTCCTCTGTTGCTTTTAGATGATTTAGACTATATATTTGTTTATGTATTCTCTAGACTATACATTACTGTTTCCTCAGTGTTATTATCAAAAAGAAGTTAGCCATACGTTTGGAATTGTATTTCTTCCAGAAGCAGCAAAGGGCACCAAGTAGTGGGAAGAGATTGATGGTGGTGCCTTTTTCATTACAGTGAGAAGACAGGGGAAAGGCCCATTTTTCTCTAATGGGTTTCAGTACTGGCCATCATTTGTTGTAATTGTCACCCCTCAGAAAGACTTGGAAAGAGCCATAAGAGCAAAAGCTATCAGGTGATGTCAAAATAGAATTGCAATGCTGAATGTTCCATTAGTTGGTAGATGTGTTAGGAGTATAGTTATAGACTCACTGGACTATTAAAATATATTCTGGGGCTGGCATTGTGGCAGGGCAGGTGAGGCCACTGACTATGATGCTGGAATCCCATATGGGTACCACAACCGGTGCCAGCTGCCACACTTCAGATGCAGCTCTGTGAATGCAACCAGATGGCAGCAAAGGATGACTCAAGCACTTGGGCCCCTGCCACTCTGGTGGGAGACCCGGATGAGACTCTTGTTTCCTGGATTTGGACTGACCCAGTCTTTGTTACTGCTGTATTTGAGGAGTGAATTAGTGGATGGAAAATTTCTATCTCTCCATTCCTCTCTGTAACTCCAAATTTCAAATTAACAAGTGAATTTCTACATACATATATTCTAATTCTTTTAAGATTTGTTATTGGAAAGTCAGATTTATAGACAGAGAGAAAGGTCTTCCATCCGCTGATTCATGCCCCAAGTGGCCACAACGGCTGGAGCTGTGTCCATCTGAAGCCAGAAATCTCTTCTGGGTCTCCCAGGTAGGTGCAGGGTCCCACAGCTTTGGGCCATCTCTGACTGCTTTCCCAGGCCACAAACAGGGAGCTGGATGGGTAGTGGAGCTGTCGGGATTAGAACCGGCACTCGTATGGGATCCTGGCATGTGCAAGGCAAGAGCTTTTGGCTAGTAGGCTACAGTGCTGGACCTACATATATTCTAATTTACCAGAAACGTTTGGATCTGTTGTTAGTCTTTTACCTTTTTAAGCAGGCATTTTGCTTTTTAAAGGACATCAAAAAATTGGATACCTAGTTTTACATTTTATTTAAAAAGTGTCAAATTCTGCAAACTGTAATAAGTTTGTATACAGTTTTTTAAAATCTGCATTTAAAAGTTTGAGACATTAAAATAAGAGTAAAGAGTGAAGTGCTACCTCTCCTGATTTTATGTGGGAAAACAAAGTTATGTTTATATTTTCCAAACTCTTTTTACATGAGAGCCTGTTACGCCTTCTCTTATTGAATTTTTTAGGCTACTCTTGGTGTGGTTGGACCTATAAGGCTAAATTCCTTTCTCTTATTTTAGTGTATGTGAGAGAGATAATACTTGGGAAAATCTAGTTTAGAAAACCCTCATTATAAAAGTTAGTATAGGGCCTGGCGGGATGGCGCAGTGGTTAAGGTCCTCGCCTTGCACGCCCAGGATCCCATATGGGCGCCAGTTCTATCCCGGAAGCCCCGCTTCCCTTCCAGCTCCCTGCCTGTGGCCTGGGAAAGCAGTCGAGGACAGCCCAAAGCCTTGGGACCCTGCACCCGTGTGGGAGACCCGGAAGAGGCTCCTGGCTTCGGACTGGCATAGTATCAGCTGTTGCGCTCACTTGGGGAGTGAATCATCGGACGGAAGATCTTCCTCTCTGTCTCTCCTCTCTGTATATCCGCCTTTCCAATACAAAAATAATAAAAATAAATCTTTAAAAAGAAAGTATAGGGCCCAGCGCAATAGCGTAGAGGCTAAAATTCTCACCTGGAACATGCTGCAATCCCATATGGGTGCCAGTTCTAATTCTGGCGGCCCCACTTCCCATCCAACTCCCTGTTTGTAGCCTGGGAAAGCAGTCGAGGACGGCCCAAAGCCTTGGCACTCTGCACCCATGTGGGAGACCCGGAAGAGGCTCTTGGCTCCTGCCTTCAGATGGACTCAGCTGCAGCCATTGGAGCCACTTGGGGAGTGAACCATCAGACAGAAAATCTTCCTCTCTGTCTTTCCTTCTTTCTGTATATCTGCCTTTCCAATAAAAATGAATAATAAATCTTTTTTTAAAAGTTAGTATAAATATGTTCCGATCACATTGTGAAGTGTTACCTGTGTCTGATTAGACACATGGGTTGAGTGACAGAGGTTTTATTTATTTATTTTCCTGAGAACTCAGAGGCCGGTGATGAAGCATGCATGTCAGGGTGAACGACATCACCTGCTTCCTGCAGGTGCAGGCCTACTGGTCAGACTTCCTTTTCCTTTGTCTCTTTTCCTTCTTATTACCCAGTTCTCTGTTCTTGTCCAAGAGTGCATTTCCTAGAGTCGGATATGATGTTTTCATGCAATCTCACCAATATGATTTCTCGACCCAAAGAGCTGAGTCCTTCTGAGGCTGTACCTTGTCTGGAAGATGGAGTAAGGATGAGGTGGGTAGAACACAGGTCTGTGTCTAGGGACCAGTGGGCTCTGATAACACTGTGTAAGCAGCTGAACAAATGCAAAATGTATCTAAATTGGAAGTCTTAGTGAGTTGAACTTGCCTTAAATGGCACTGAATCCCTTACTGACTAAAATTTTAAGGATAAAACATTTTAAAAACTATATTTAAGAAGTAGGGAGAGAGGGTGGGAAAGAGCTCCCACCTGCTGGTTCACTTCCAGAGGCCTTCTGTAACAGCTGGAAGCAGGCTGGTCTCCCCAGTGGGTGGCAGGG